GAATACATTCTCAAACGTTTCGCCGGCATCGTAGTCATAGCTTGTTGCGGCGAATGGCAGCACTGACTGATGATGCCGACTACGATGCCGGCGAAACGTTTGAGAATGTATCCAGTCAACTGTCAGTTGCTGGGAGTCATGACAACTACTATGGCAGACGACTTCGGACTAGGTGCGTTCTACATCGTCTCCCTGAAGACAAGACCAAGTTGCGCCAACGAGGTCAACCCACTTCTATTCATATGATTGTGGGAAAATTCTTCTACCAGTATATTTGGCAAAGTGATCGACTGGCAATTGACTGTTCTTGAACTATTTGTTTTTATCGTTTTATTAAGATATGCTGTGTAAAAAGCTCATCAAGCATGTATATATAAGCCAGATACCTTCACTGTATCACAAATTGATAGTATTAGAAAATACTCGCATCGAAAAACCAAAAGCCTGTCGGGCCTCAAATGTGAAGTGCTCAAGCATTGTTCGAAATTATCTTTCAGATATACTTGACCCATGATTACTCTTAATATTGGGTCGAATGGGCTACCTCATTCCTGAAACTTTTTCAATGCACTTCTATTTTATCTTTAATTTTAATAAGTTATCCTAAATAGCTTCTCGTATTAGCATTTTTGCAGTTATGGGCTGTTCATGCCTTTGCAGTGTTCATTAATGAGTCGAGTTTTCCCCTATTTCTAGGAGAAGCGTCTCAAAGCTCTTGAGCACCAGCTAACTGAGGCCCGCCGCCGGACTTCCCATAGTCGGGCTCGACAGGAGTCTATCTGTGAAGAATCACAGCATTCCCTTCGCAAGGCCTGGCTCGCTTCGGCTCTGTCAGATTCCAAACCAATAGCTAACTCAAATAGGCTGTCTGATTGCGAGCGCAATGCTTGGCAGGACCGTGTGGATCGACTGTCACAGGAAGCTGAAGAGAGCAAATCTATTCTGGACAAAAGGACTCAGGAAGTCAAGTACGCTTTATTAGGAGATAAACACTTACGCCATTATTTTTTTTACGTAATTTTAATGTTATATTCTGCTGCATAGCATAGTATTGCACACTTGATTAATCCGGGCAAACTGTTATAATGATAATGGTGATCGCCTTAGCGAAGTGTAGCCGGATTGTTATGCCATCTCTTTCATGCCATGTTTGATGTGTGTCCTAGCTATACTAGCACCATTGCATGGTATAATGCTGCATTGCAAACACATCTTAATTACATGTAGAAAGACCTGTTTTCGAATAATCCCTTAAGATATTAATATTGGAGCACCTTTCATTTCGTTTGAAGAGGCAAGTGATAGAGATTCGTAAGGGGATTGTTCTGGGAGTCGAGCCGAGGACTCATTTGTACAAATCTACAGTCACGACTCCAAGGCAACCTCTCTTCGGTCTTTAATAAGACCAACTTATGAATCCCTTCCACTCGCCTTTGTAAAAAAGAAATGGAGGTATTCCAACACATCTAAATTTTCTTTAATTTATTTCAAAGTACATTTTAGCTCCTCACACTCCTCTTTCTCACATAATGTATTCGTTTTTATTTTAAATGGGATTAGTTTAGATCGTAGATATGAAGACCAAGATGGTGTGATCTTCTGTTTGGTTGCAATCCCCTTTAGGTTTATAGTGTTGATTCGATCTTATTTTCGCAACTTGGTCGAAGTGTCAGAGAGATCTTGTAGCACATACCTAGTCTCGTGTCCTTTGCCATAGTATTCGTGATTTCCACCATTTGACCATTGGCTGGGTACATTCATAAACGTTTCGCCTGCATCGTCAGTGAGAGGCGCCATCGTAAGCACTGAATTATAACTTATCAAAGTTACAAGTGAAAACAAACCGCTTAATAAATTTTCTGTTTAACCGTTGTGGCATCACATTTCGCTCCTTTTTTTGTTCTACCTAGCGCCGCATCTCTTTCTCTCAACCCCACTTCATATGGCTCATCCACTTATTCACACTATTCTGTGCTCTCGTTTCCTCTTATGTCGCCTAAGTGCCGCTGCAAGTGGGTTTAGTGTAGCGTAATTATCACCACCACTACCAGGTGCAGTTTGCAGGCCCTCTGACCTTTATTCCGCCCCCATTTTTTCCCTACCCGCTTTTCAATTGGTCGCTGCTAAACATCAAAATCACTGTTGGGCTGTCTGAAATCAGGCTGTCTAATAGCCTACCATCCGCGTCCTCGATTATGCCATATTCGAAGATGTAGAGCAGATGATGCCCATTCGCATACACGTGCACAGTACCTGGAAATCTTTTTTCCCTAAGATTCAAACCCATGATTCAATTATCCTCTCCCTTATCCCCACTCCCATTGTATATTGTTCTTTGGGACCGTATTCAGCTGGTGTGAGAATACACTGCTTCTCTTTTTCTCTTTTGAATCGCGAAAAACGCACTCCTCTCGTCTCTTGATTTGACATTCCCATCTAAGCCTATGATACTGGGATGATGTCAGTGTGTATGTTGGTTGGTATCCCTCCGTGGTCAATCCTGTCATTAGTCACCTTCCCTTCCAACACAGATACGAAGAATACACACGGCACCCACACATACGGATGACCTCTATCTAGTCAACCTATACCTTTAGTCTTTAATTTCATATCCTACATCTCACGCGTGAACCTCCTGCGTAATTTTTTGATCAATTTTACGCCTCGGTGATGTCTCTTCCTGTTGTTGAACAATTTTCCTGAGTCCAAGCGTCTTCTTTTTGATGTATTCGTTGAGTTTCCTAGTCTGCTCAGGCAGTACGCGAAATTATCGCTGACTATTGTCTCTTCCGATCTCCTGTTCATCAGGCTTCTTTGAAAGAGGATGTCCACATTACTAGTTTAAGTTGCCCAAAAGCGATGGAAAGCCTGAGAGTTGAGTTGCTTACACCCAAAGTAGTAGAAGTCTTCACGATATCAATGAATTTCACTCAGCCCTACTTCCAAAAAGACCCACAAACGTTGTGGTTAAACATTGAACCTAACCAAACCAAGCAGTACCACAACATTTGTGGTTTGGCCCACAAGAGACTAGGGCATGGGAAGTCATAAACTTAATATTAGAGATAGAAACAGGAAAGACGCGGCGGCGATGGGAGCTAGTGGCTGACAGTAGGTCCATGTGGTCCATGTGGCAAATGCCTGACCATGACACTTACTCAGAGGCTTGAGCCTCGAATTAGTCACCAAGACGCAGGGTAGGGCCAATAACGCCTCGAGTGGCACAGA